TGGGTTAGGCTCTGGTAAAAGTTTCTTTTGAGGGTAGGCCTTATTAAAAAGAACAGAATGCAGGCCAGCCCGGTGGCGCACTGCTACAGTGCACCACTTGGGAGTGCGGCGGCGCTCCCGCTGAGGGTTTGGATCCCACATACAGACCGGCCGCTCACCAAGGGTTGCGATCCCGTTGCCGGTCCCGGTCCGGTACAGGCGCAACACTGAGGGTTGCGATCCATTGCCGGTCACGAAAAAAGACAAAAAGGAAAAAAAAAAAAAAAAAGAACAGAATGCTCTTGGCCTATATCAGAATGGTTACTTTTCCCTTATCCCTGCCAGAAGCACAAGGAGATTTTTCTTCAGTCTTCATAAGGAGAACCTACTAGAGCTCCTGGAGGAAAAACTCAAAAAAGTGTGACCCCCTAGAGTGGGTGTGCCTGGAGTTTTTAACTCTCAGACTCATCCACACTGAATTTTAACATATGTGTAGCTTCATGTAACCACCACCATGATCAGGATACAGAACAGCCAACTCCTTTACTGAGCAGGGGCACAGTGGGTCTGCATCCCTGGGGTCATGCAGTCATTAGTGGCAGAGCTGGGGAAGTAGGGCCCAGCTGGCTCAGGCTGAGCTGAGAGGTGCAATCTGGGGACAGCCCCTCTGCTCAGATCAGCCTCCCCCATGCCTGGCCCTGCGCACTGGCCCCTGAGGGGTCCTGGGGCCCTTCCCAAGCAGGCCTGTCCCATCTGACAGGACCATGGGTGAGGTGGCCCACCTGTGATGGCCATGGCCTTGGTCTCTTTTATTCCATTTCCAGAGGGACCATCTGAAAATTGGGTGGGTCTTTTTCTCCACTTAGGGGTTTGTAGTGGCTCCCTGCTGCCTCCCGTGCCCATCCAAGCAGCTGAGTGTCTGAGGCCAGCACCAGCGCATTGTCTTCAGGCCCCTCCCTCCTGTTGCTCCTGCCTAGGAGTGTCTGCTGATCCTGTGCCTCACTGTGGCTGCCCCTTGACTCCTCCCTCCCCCACAGCCCCCTCTTTTGTGTCCCCTTGCTCCTAAAGTCCTGAAGTTGCTTCTTTTTCACTCTGTCCCTGCCTCCAGTCCACCCTCCATGTGGCAGCTTAGGAACCTCTGATGGCTCCCTGTTGCCTGTGGGATCAAGTCTCAGATCCTCTTCTGCCCTCAAGGCCCCCATCACCTGCCCCTCCCCCCTCCCACCACAGCTCAGACAGAGCAGACCAGGCGCCCTCCCATCCCTGCTGTCCCTGTGGTGTACCTGCCCTCTTTGGCTTAGACAAACTTCTCTTGCTTGGACTCTCATGACACTTTATTTTACATTGATTTAGCACCGATTTCACCCAATTGCACTATTTGCCAATGTGTCTTTCTCTCCTGTGAGATTCTAAGTGAGGTGAGACCAGGTACCTTGTCTTACTCCTTCCTGTGACCCCATGAGGCCCAGTACCTAATGTGTGACCAGGAAGGATGGACTCTGGGTACTGTACTAATGGGGGCCCTTTCTGGCTCCACATTATTGCTCTTGCTGTTACCTCAAATTAAATGCCCTTCCCTCTTCTCTTTGCCCATGTAAATTCTCTCTTCTAGAGCTCATTCAAGCCCAGCTTCCACCAGGAAGCCTACAGTGATCACTCCCTCCTTGGAATTCCCCCAGCATTCCCTGGTCTTCAACATATCCTGGGACGTGGGGAGTTTCCCAATGGACCAGGTATGTCCCAAAGGTTGGGCTCAGTCTCCCTTGCAGCAGACATTCTGGTGGTAGGGAGGGGACAGTACTGGGAAGGGAGATCCTGGGACACTAGGGAAGAAATTCTGGGCTGGACTAGGCAGAAAAGTGGGCATCTCTGCTCCGAGAGCAGGCTAGACAGCATCAGGTGCAGGGTGATCCAGCAACTGCAGGGATTTAATGAGGACTCTGGTGGCAGGAATTCAGGGACTACAAGGGAATATGGGAGGTTCCCAAGGTAGGGGTGACTGCTAGGCTCTGCAGTGGGAGGTTCTCTCTGGGCCCAGTCTTGGAAGGAGCCATGGCCTCCAGAGTTCTGATGACGTGACAGTGGTCAGACCAGCTGTGCAGGGCAGTCTTACAGTGGTCAGCCTGATCAAGATGGTTGGTCATAGAGGCTAGTCTGATGGTGGTCAGGCTGATCATGGAGGCTGGTCTGACAGTGGTCAGCCTGATCATGGAGGCTGATCATGGAGGTTAGTCCAATGGTGGTCAGGCTGATCATGGAGGCTGGTCTGACACTGGTAAGCCTGATCATGGAGGCTGATCATGTAGATTAGTCCAATGGTGGTCAGCCTGATCATGGAGGCTAGTCTGATGGTGGTCAGGCTGATCATGGAGGCTGGTCTGACGGTGGTCAGCCTGATCATGGAGGCTGATCATGGAGGTTAGTCCAATGGTGGTCAGGCTGATCATGGAAGCTGGTCTGACACTGGTAAGCCTGATCATGGAGGCTGATCATGTAGATTAGTCCAATGGTGGTCAGCCTGATCATGGAGGCTGGTCTGATGGTGGTCAGGCTGATCATGGAGGCTGGTCCGATGGTGGTCAGCCTGACCATGGAGGCCGGTCTGATGGTGGTCAGGCTGATCATAAAGACTGGTCCAATGGTGGTCAGGCTGACCAGGGTGCTCACAGGCTGGGCTAGTGACCTCAGTAGGAGATGAGGAGGGGGTTGGTGAGCACAGGAGCTGTGGAAGCTGATTCCAAGGGCTGTCTCTGCAAGAGCTCACAGCCAGCCAAGGCTTGGTGCAGGGCATCCAGGATTGCCGAGGGGCCAGGTCTCCCCTCTAGAGGGAAAGAGTGGAAAGGAAGGGCAGGGTCAGTGTGCTCACCCTGGCCCACAGAACAACTCTCCCTCCTTTCTGGGACCCAACCACCATCATGCCCTGCATCCCTCCCCAGTCCTGCCCAACTCCCTCTCTCTCTTGCCCCTTTCCCACTGGGGATCTGGCACTTCTAGCACATAATTCCTGATCTCCTCTGTGATGCCAGGGCCATTTGGGGTACTGGACATATCTGAACCCTACCCAGCGATGCCTGGTGAGGCCAGCCAGCAAAGGCCCATCATCATCGGTTGCCCTGCCAGCCTGTGAGGCAGGAGCTCAGCCTTGCTGCTTCTGGCTGCACTGAGCACAGCCAGCACTGATGAAATTCTGCTGCCCTGAACTCTGTTTAAACAGCAACAGCTGCATAGCGTAGTGCATAAGGGAGATACCAAAGCCTTGGGCGTGGTCAGCACTTGACCCTCTGTGCCTCAGTCCCCTCATCTGTGGAATAGGGATAAAAACAGCACCTTCCTTACAGGGCCATTGTGAGGAATCAGGAGGTTAAAGACACCTGAGGTGCCTCCCCAGCGAGCCCAGTGAACTGGGTCTGTCTGAATGGCCGGCACCCACCAGTCCCCCACTGGCTTTGACCACTGACCACACTGGCTCTATTTGGCACTTCTCCCCAGGGCTTCCACCTAACTTTCTAAAGCCTATTCCCAAATCTAGCCATTGCAGGTGTTCAAAGCAGGAGTGACGACACCATTTTGCAGATTAGACACTTAGGACAGAGAGTCCTGGAGTTTCCTGGTCAGAACGCCCTCCAGCGCTGTCCAGGCTCTGGAAGACAGGCACTCTCCTACCATGTATGGGGTCCCTGTAAGGGTCCAGCGTGCTCAGCAAAATCTTCCCCAGTGATCTTCTTGATATGTTCTTAAAAAGAAATGGAGACAGGGCTGGATCAGACTGGCTGCTGTGTCCTCATTCAGTACGTGGGACCTGGTGGCCCCTAGGGGCTTCCGTGAAGCTCCCAGGGGGCAGATAAAGACCCCCGCCTCTTCTTCCATCATCTCTTCCTGCCCCCTACCCCTAGGCTGGCAGCACTGGGTTTCTCAGAGACTTGGTAAGTGGATGGAGTGCCGCGCAGGATCCACTCCATCAAAGATCACATATTTAAGGATTACTGTCTATGTGCCAAAGTAGTCACTTGGGAAATAACTATGGCAAAGAACATTTCTGTGCATTCACTCATTTGATCCTTGCAACAACTTATTTTATTATGCTCATTTTATTTAGTTTTGTTTTTTTGGTGATGGCCGGAACCGGGATCCAAACCTTTGACTTGGGTGTTATCACACTACACTTTAACCAACTGAGCTAACCACCGAGCCCTATTATGCCAATCTTAACCAGCAAAAAAAGCAATGCTGAGAAAGAATGAGAAATTTGCCCAAAGCCACCCAGCTGGGAGATGGAAGGACCAGTACTGACTCCCAGGCTGCAACTCCCCCAGAGCCTGTGCTGGGAACCCTGCCCTTCACTACCTGCCAGGCTGGGCTGGGACTTGGCAGTTGGGCCCATCTCCGGCTCTTTCTGCCTGCCCAGGTTGTGTGACATTGGGCTGGACTTTGACAGTCCTATGTCCCAGGCAGCCTGGTGCACAGGGAAAAGCCCACTCAGAGACCCACAGATCTGGGTTCAAATCTTACCTTCGCCTCATATTGGCTGTATAATCCTGGGTAAGTTAATGGGTCTCTTAAATTTTTTTAAAAACAGTTTGCTGATGATTTCAGTTTTCTGATTTTTTTGTCAGCCACCTTGCCAAGGAATTCCAATAATTTACCTCTATGTTCTTTTGTGTATTCTATGTAGATGAATATGATCTACAATCAATGATAGGTTTGTTTCTTCCCTTCCAATCCTGTATTCTTTCTTTTTTTTGTCTTACTGCACTGGCTCTAGATAGCATACAAGCAGTGACAAGAGGCCCTCTTGTCTTGGGTCCAGTTTTATGATTCCTCTTATCATCTCACCTATCACTGTGAGATTTGCAAGAAATATTTTGTTAAGACCCCTTATCTGATTAAGAAAGATCCCTACTGTTCTTAATATGCTGTGATATTTTATAATCAAAGCGGATTGGATTTTATTGACTGCCTTTTCTCCATCTATTGAGATGATTATACGGTTTTTCTCCTTTAATCTGCCATGTGGTATATTTTGGTGATAGATGTTTTGTTTTGTTTTGTTTTTCTAAAGATGACCAGTAAGTGGATCTTAACCCTTGACTTGGTGTTGTCAGCACCACGCTCAGCCAGTGAGCGAACCGGCCATCCCTATATGGGATCCGAACCCGGGGCCTTGGTGTTATCAGCACCACACTCTCCCGAGTGAGCCACCGGGCCGGCCCAGGTGATAGATGT